GAGATGTGGTGTTTTCTGTTGACTGTACAATTACCTGTATGAGGCAAGAGACTTCCAGTACCTTATTTTTCTTCTAAGCAAGGATTATAATACTCAGGTGTTGGTGTCACATATATATTTTTTTAAACCTCAAAATTCCTCCCAGTATTTTCATCCCATAAGTCTGGGGGTTTTGGCTTGGAATGGGAGCCTGCTTTATTTCTTTAAATCAGGCTCTATGAGGTTTTCTGTAAAGGAACAGAGAGTAAATATGTTCAGCTTTGTAGGCCACCTGTCTCTGTCACAACTACTCAGTTCTGCCCTTCTAGCATGAAAGCAGCCATGATAATACTTAAACAAATGGACATGCATGTTCCGATAAAACTTTATTTATAAAGACAGCCACTGGCCCTTACTTTGCCAACCCCTGCATTAAGTTGTTTAGAAATGCTGTAAAATCAATTATTAATTTCATTCTCTGAATGTGTTTGCAAACTGCCCAGTACTCAGTTCAGAACATACTTGATTTTTTTGTCTTTCACTTAATTTTTTTTGTATAAGCAATTTTGTGTCTGAATTATATATAGAACTAATGAAACTGGTAATAAGACTTGATTTTAACATATGTATCCTCTAACAGTATAAATGGCTGATCTTATTCTAAGAAGCAAAAGTGAGTACAGGTGAAATCTAAGGTGTGTCCTCACCTGAAAACCTGTATAGTCAGTTATTCTGAACCATGGCTCATTATTTTGAACAATGCTATATATCAATAAATGTTTTATTGAATGGAAGAGTGTTGTAGGATCGGGGGCCATCAGGCATATGGACCTCAGGGATATATTTGACTTCCGTGATTATAATGGATTAGGAAACCATGGCCTAGAGCAGACGAATGGCTTGCCCAGGAGGGCAGTTTACTTTTAGGGGGAAATTAAGGCACCTGTAGTTACTATGCTTCTTACTGCTCTTTGGGGTTTTAGACATGAGTAGGAAATTGCAAGCAATGGCCTTGTCAGTCCCATACCAATTTTAATATTTTGTGATTCTACACCATGATCATGATCTCTGAGCTGATCTGCTTTTCTTTCTCCACAATTTATTTTTGTATTATTGTTATCTTCTAAAGGGAGAAATATTGACCTGCAGGTCTTTACCTTTCATTTGTTAAGGGTAATCATCAGGATGGGTCACAGATTTTTAAAATATTTCAGTGTAGGTTTAGGTGTAACATTTAAAGCATCCAATTGTCTTCCAGGCCTGTAATAACACAAGTGACAGGAAACACGCAGACTCAATTTTGGAGAAGTATGTTACCGAAATTGTCATGAGTATTGTTACTACCTTCTTCAGTTCTCCCTTCTCAGACCAGAGTACAACTTTGCAGGTAAGAGCAGGGTGTTCATGGTAGAGCTTTGGCAATTGGACTTGATGCTAATTTGGGAATGAGCAGCTATAAATGAACCACTCTACAAAGCTTTAATAAGGATGCTCTTCTATTGGTGGAGGATAGCTTTTTCAGGATCTCTTGGATAAAGAAATACCTGAGGATGTTTTCCTATGCCAGATGGTTTTATGGTTGTTAACTTTTTCCTTAAAATCCTTTCTCCTTTTGGGGCCGGCCCG